CACACACACATATTGTCGGTTATTGTCAATATGTGAGTTGAGCAGGGAAGCGATGAAAGTGTGTAATGATGCTACCTGACAGCCCGTTAAACCGGAGAGAGATGAGGATGCAATTAGATTGTCATCGCGCCGGAGTCACCGCGACGAAACAGACGGAACGAGCGAAAGGAGGGGAGGTTTATTTTGGGGGTCTTTTCAGGGCGAGCTGATGGTTTGTGTGCAGACGTTTGATGCGATATCAAATGATTGAGAGACGATGATTATTGGCTGTGTGATCAGTTGTGTCATTGGCCCCGGGTTGATTCTGCTGCTGAGTTACCGTCAAGCTGAAGATAAAAGCTACCAATCCTCCTCTTCAGTCTCTTCATCTTGTAAAAAAAGGAAAGTGAGACTTCCCTTCGAACAGAGCTCCAGATTGACTTACTGCTCAGTCTCAGGAGAGAGTTCACTATATGTGCAAATGAGACGTTTGTGCGGCAGCACATCAGATGTTTAAACTAAAAAGTGTCAGAGAGAACATTTATATTCATAGATAAACTTTTTTTTAGAAGTGCATGCGGTGCCGAACATTTGAGTTTGAATACTTTTGTAAAGAGAGTAAGTGATTTATGACAGTGTGAGGAATGAATATGAGGACAGCTGTGTCACACCTTGTCTGTTGAAACATGAGACTCATACGGCCACATTCTTTCATGCATTCATCAATTATGAGAGTTTGGCTGTTGACAGTATTTTCTGATTGATGGAGTGAGACAAAGAGAGATCAGAAATCCCCTCTGTAGAAACATTTCACTCTAATATGTCAACAGAATGAAACTGGGCTTTATTCAATGTTCAGAGTTATGTTCTGGAAATGTATGAAAAGTATCACAATAAGACAAAAAAAAAGTAATCTGTGAACTAAGTAGAAGTAGTGCAAAAAAACCTATTTTCTTAATGTCTTAATGTCTTAATGCAAGTTATTAATTCATGAAGTTTCACAGCGATCTGTGTGAGGGTCCCGGCACAAACGATGTCATGTGTGTACAGATTGTGGAGCCCTCTGAGGCAGATTTGTGATTTGTGATTTTGGGCTCTACAAAATCTATTGACTTGAATCTATTGGTCACGTTGTTCCCCTTTTCATCTGTAGTGTTTCCCCTTCAAGGAGCAATATACGAGATTCAGAGCATTAATATCTACGAACCACCATCTATGTGAAGATATAGAAGAGGAAAGTCTGAGCTCGGGCTGTGTTGCAACCACAGCCTCTTTTTGTTGTTGTTGACGTAGTCGGCAGGCGCGTGCTTTTTAGTGCATGTTAGTGCACGTGAGCGTGCCTTTTAGTGCATGTTAGTGCACGTGAGCGTGCCCCACCGGTTAGCTCTGGCGCCGCTCCGCACTGCTCTCATACGCGGCTCCAGCCGATAACGGCGCCCTGATGGACAGCGTCGTGGTGTAAACGTAGCCTCGGTGAACGTTAGCTGCTATCAGCGCTTTGCTGCTCCGAGCTTGCGGCTCGATATATTATCACCTTTAATGAACAGCTCCAATGTTCTCGTGTCTATTAAAACTACTTCGTAGCGTAATAAAGCATTATTAAGCGCTTGTAAATACTAAATTAGGGAGTTGAAGTGAAGCTTTGAACCTTTTACTGCTGCTGATCAATGTGATAGAAAGCAGAGTGTGTAATTGATTGATGTTTGAATCCCATCAGTGTTTGTATTCCGTTCAAATTAGATTATCTATAAAAGTACTTCCCATTCACATCCCCCCCCATCCCTGTTTCCCCTTCAGTGTAAGAGCCTCGCAGTAACAGCGTGTTGCCAGTAGGAGGTGTGATGTTCCACCAATGGAGAACAGTGACCCTGTTTATAAGGTGTGTATGAGTGAGTACTGTAAAATAATGTACAATAAAAATGATTATCGTGAGTCATTATCACATACAAAGTAATATACACCAATACTATATAATGTATGCACATATTAAATGTTAAATATTATTATTAAGTATTAAATTAAAGGAACATTATTAGACTACTAGTTTAAATATTACATGATGACCAATAATTCTGTAATCTTTAATATAGAACTTTAACATGTATAGTTTCCTTCTCTTTTTGGATTCATAGTTATAAATTCAACATGATAGGAAACTATTAAATGAACTAGATGAAGGTGCCACGTGTTGAGGATGACGATGAGAGTATCAATGATGAAGATTAGGGATTATATGAGAGAATGATGTGGATTATAATGATGATGTTGATGGTTTATGACAAGAATTGACTTTGATAAGAACGATGATGACGAGACTGCTGACACTGATGAAGAGAGGGATGGTGGTGGTGACGTCGTGATAAAAGACGGGACTCATTATTGATGATATAAATGAGTGGTGATGACATACACACACTATTAACCCTGAAGTTATATTGTTGGTGAGGTCCAGGTGTTTGCACACATCATACCAACTCTCAGCCCTCAACGTGGAACACCAAAACCACAGTGTCCAGGTAACCACGCCCCCCGCCCGTCAGACCTATCCACCGGTTCACTGATCACTTTAGAGCCTCGTCAGCTCGTTACAGAACGTTACAGAGGAGCAAAACACAGCTTTGACACCGAGCCACACTTCAATCCAAAACATATTCAATCGAGCAGACGACGTTTTAGTGGATGAGGAAGTCTTGTTCACCAAAACCTGGACTGTTCTTGAATAACTTAGTATCAGTGTGATTTTACCTCTAAATAACACTTCTTCATTCTAGGGAAGCTGTGGAGTCACCGAGGACACACATGTTACCAACAGGTTTTATAGATCAATAGATTTACATGAAATATAATAAATGAAGACTGAACATTGTGTTTGACTTGTAACCGTCTCTCTTCCTGCATGTCGATTCATCGCCGTCCTTGTTGAACACTTGAACTGTTTTTGTTTTTTAAAGTATTCTGAGACCACACCGTCCTCCACAGATGATGTGTTCTCGCCTTTTTCCAAATAAATTTTCTTCAGTTGTTGATTCATTTAATTTGATGAAAAGGATGAGAAAATCATAATTTTGTGTTGTTGTTGTATTTATTGAACTGGATATTGTATATAAAGGAAAGCTCTGAACCTTTTTTATTAGCTATTCTATTGTAATGTCTCCATCTATCAATACTTCCCCTCGGTTATTAATATCTTCCTAGCTCACTTAGTACTGTACATATTATTTTGACTCATCAGATACCAATACAGTCACATTTGTCACTTCTGGGACTCCATAGCCGTAAACCTCCGAGGACTCCAGAGGAGCTGTCCGGTCTGGCGTGGTGCTGAAATCCTCCAGGATCCATCAGCACGCGGCACCTACGGAACTTCCGTGAAGGTTCATCTCAAGACTTTCGCCGAACTAGACTTGGCCAAACAATTAAAAGACATTTCTGAGTCGCATTCATTCGCAAGAAATATCCTTTAATTGTAAGGTCAAGTGTAGTAATCTTCCATTTCTTCTTCTCGATGAGTGGAAGCAATCCTCTTTGGTCGTCACATGGGAGTGGAAAAAAAAGAACACCTGAAAAGACATCATGGGTAAGGTCAGTGACGTCACATGCACACACGCCGAGGATATGTGTGACCTCATCACTCGCGGGCTTCAGGCTGCAGAAGACAAACAGATCCAAGACTCACTGAACCTCACGAGAGCGTTGTAGACCTGCAGCGCCGAGAATCCCACTGTACCGGGACACGCGCGCATTCCGAGCCACCCCCCAGTGCGGCTGAGGAGTCCACCTCCCCTTTACTCTAATCTATTCCTTCCCCCAAAGCCACCGCTATCACGACTCGCTGTCGCTCCTCATCGCGTTAAATATTGAAACATTTTTTATTTCTTTCTGGAAAATCCTCCATTCAGCTCTATAGGAAGATTTTACGCACGCGGCGGCGCCAAAGCCGCTGCTCGCCTGGTATCCGGACGTTTTGGCTCCACAACAAGAACTGAACGTGACGGGTGTTTACGGAGATCACCGTTTAAATGTAACCTGCTCAGATACTCGGCATCTTCTCGTCCGACATCTTCTCGACGACCTCTCCAAGCTGCCAGTGGCTTCACACCGATGTCCCACTTGACCCGATATTCGTTTCAGACATCACAATCAGCCCTTGCTGAGATGGAATAGTTAGTGTGTCCGGTTTTCTAAGATAGAACTACCGCATGTTCCTTTTCCTCTTTCCATCACAAGAAAAAAAGGAAAAATAAACTGGTCAAAACCAATGTTGTCTTGAATTTACGCACGGATACCGAAGTCACAAGCACGAGCAGAATAACGCACATTGCAGCGTGGCACTGCGGTGGTAACGGGTCCTCCTGTCGGCGCCGAATAAACGAACTTCAGTCGGTGCGGAGAGCACGTGAAGTCGGGCTGTCGCAAGTTCATTACCGGAACCAACGACCTCCCCCACTCTCCGGTGTCCGAGTCATCCCGCACAAAACCTACCGACCGAACGAGCTCCGTCCGGGGTGCGACTACCTCGGCGTCTCGCTCCTTCTCACCCCGTCTCCTCCGCGGCTCCCATCCATCCCCCCATCTCTCTATCTCCATCCCTCGCCTCTCTTTTTCTCCGGTCGGGCTTCCAGCGCCGTAGATAGAGGCTCTGCAATCACGTGGGTCGGGGGAGAAAAGAGAGAGAGAGAGAGAGAGAGAGAGAGAGAGAGAGAGAGAGAGAGAGAGAG